GACCAAGCTTTACTTAAAGGCAGCGTCCCGGCAAATTTTCGCCTTCTATTCCTCACCTATTCGAAAATCTGCGCTTTTCAGCACTTGAAAATGGCGAAAATGAGCCTTTTCCCAAGTTTCGGGAAACCGCAATCAGTGAAAATACGCTGGAAGTTTTCCGCACTCCGCCCGCTTATACGTATTTTCCAGTTAGTGCGGACATGGAAGACTTCTGGAAAAGCTCATTTTCGCTAATTTCATGCGCTGAAAAGCCCAAATATGGATTCCTCAAAGGGAGCAGGCTCCGAAAAAGTGAAAAACTGGGAGACGAAATCCTGCCGGGAGCGGGCTTTAAGAAGCGGATTTTTTGAAAGTTACCAACTGTTCACAGTAAACAATGCAGCTTTATTATCGTATATCAGAACATGAGATCACCTTAGAATATGTAGAAAGACAGATCATAGTTTGAGCTTAGCCAGGTAGTAATTTGCATCACTTCCAAGAAGTAGATTTCCATGGCCATCTTCTATTGCTGTGGTAATGTCAGATACACGTCCTTCAGGATCGTGAAGAGATTCGGTGATTTTTCCTGTTTCCACATCAACCTGCAAGTTCTGACCATTTTAGGTTCTTTTTTTTTTCAGAGTAGTAAATAGTCCAACCTTTAGCACTAGTCCATATTTGCTGGACATCCATTCGGCAATAGCATTTACAGCTTGAGGTGAAAGCAGCTAGAAATGGAGAGATGATTCCGAAAAAGTTGTCAGTCAATTAAATTTTTTGATCTCTGAGATAAGGAAATCGGAAAAAGAAAGGAACACCTTTGTCAACAAGTTTCTCAATGCTGGTCTGGCCGCAAGCCAGTTGTCCCCATCCGAACGTAATGCAGCTAATGGCACCCATAATTTCCCATCATCAGCTTGCCGAATGTTATCCGGGTATCCAGGAAGATTGTCAATAAGCACGTCGACGGTTTTGGAAGATGGGGAGTACCTGGGAAAATAGAAGGAAATATACTAATGATTTTCTGCGAAATTTCTTACTTGAGTATCCTAGACATGCCCATTTCTGCAACAAAAATCTTCCCACGTATAACTTGGACTCCATTTGGAAAGTACAGTCTGTCTGATAGAATAGACAGATCATCATTTGAAGGATTGAATACGAGCAACCTGAAAACTTCAAAAAAAA